CTCCTCGTTGGTGAAGGTCTTGTTGCCCTGGTCCGTCTTGAGATGGATCTGGACGTAGACGAAGGAACCGTCGGGCTTGGTCCACTTGTGGGTGTGGCCCGAGTAGCCGTTCATGTGTCTGTAAGAGTAAGGGGTGCCGCGGTCGGAGAATAGGTGCATCAGCTGGTGAATGCACTCTTGGTTCTTGGTCCAGTAGTCAAACTGAAATTTGAGTTAGAATGAGTTTGTAATGTGTTTCTGGTCATCACTGCTTACCATCTACTCAAGTTAGCTCATGTCATCTCAAAAGAGTTGGGGTTTCAACACTCACCATCGTAGCATCCTTCAGGTTAGTTTGCGGGTGACGCTTCTGTGTGTGAATGAAAGGAGGGAACTTGACAGGGTCGCGGATGAAGAAAATGGGAGTATTGTTGTAGACCCAGTCCCAGTTGCCCTCCTCGGTGTAGAACTTGACAGAGAAACCTCTGGGATCACGAGCTGAGTCGGCAGAGCCCTTCTCACCACCAACAGTCGAGAAACGGGCGAGAGCCTTGGTCTTCTTGCCGATCTGGTTGAGCATGTCGATGGAGGAGATATCGCTAATGTCATGTGTGACCTCGAACTGTAAGCCCCGCGCGCATGCTGGTCAGCATATTCTCTCGAGGAGCGCCGGGCTGCCCGTCGCTCAACCCAGCACAACAGGAACCGTCCGTCTCACGTACCTCGCCGTACGCACCGGCGCCCTTGGCGTGGACGACACGCTCGGGAATGCGCTCGCGGTCAAAGTGGGCCAGCAGGTCAATCAGGTGGAAGTCCTGGAGCAGCAGAGGGCCCTGGGGACCGATGCGCTGCCATGCCTGGGGGTTCTCGACAGGGGCGCCATTGGAGGTGGTGTAAGTCGGCTTCTCGTTATACCGGTAGGTAGAAGGCTTCTCGTCTTCGGAGCCCATCTTGTCGGCGGTTCTCGTCCTCGTCGGTTCAGTTAGGAGAGATGTTCTGCGCTTTCAAAGTCGGAGGGATAACTTGTGTGCTTGTCAAGATCCAACACCAACAAACAGGAGCGGCAAATGGCAAGTCAGATCGAAAAAGAGCAGATCAAAGAAAGTCTCGGGGGGACGGTCCAATAGAGGGAAGACGAAAAGATAAATACTCTAAAGCTCCATGGCAGAAAGAAAAGAAATAAGACGTACCAGAAGTGGGAGGGGACCCTCCTTACACCTCGGCCCCTCCCTCTCCTTCTTCCTCCCTCTTCCTCTTACTTGCCCCAGTTTCCTCGGCTTCTGGAGCCCCATGAGCTCTGTACTCCCACTCAGGGCGTTGAAGTTACGAAGCAGAAACCCCAGGACACGACGTAAGTCGTCCGGGCAAGGGTGGCTTTCCTCTTTGATTTCTGAAGCTTTGGTGGGACACACGGCCAATTGGAGAGCAGACGAATGCAAGCTTGGGATGGCCGAGGTCCACAGAGAGCTCCATCTCGACGTTTCCTAGCGTCCTTCAGCCACCCCTTGTCACTCCACCTCTCGTTGCTGAGGTGCAAAGACCAAACTGATCAATCTTGCTGCTGCTTTTGAGTGGCAGATCTGTTGTCTCTAGCCTCGCCCTAGAGATAACTCCAATTCTGCACCCTTGGTTTGAGGCTCTGTTATAAAAACTAAGGAGCACGACGTTTTTGGGATATCTTTAACAGCGTTATCGTGAACTTGATGTTCCGACGCCAACCACCGCCAGCCTTCTCAGGCATAACTCGCGTTTTCCACTACTCGGATTGGTCCACTGTCTCTCCTGGCCCCTCCGACAACGGCGGGGGTTCCACCACCATTGCCCAGCTGGTCTCTTTTGCCCGGGTACATCAGTCATGACCCAGTCTGTTGCTCTACGGATACCTCCCCAGATGTTGCGGGGGGGATTCTTTAGATTCCGTCAATGTCGGCATCGAGGGGAATAATCTAGATACCAGCCTTTCTGCGATGCGGAGAAAACTCGCTGATACGAAAAAAAGGATGCGGCGCGGCGTGGGATATGCTGGTGAAGACGGCGTCCATCAGGCCACATACATGCACATCAACGGCTAGGCTAGGCTTTCATCACTTTGAGGCAACGCCGAGGATTGCGTCCCTCGGACGCCCGTTCATGCTTTTCTACTTACTCAGACAGGTCTGCCATGTTCACCCTTCCCCATAAACATAGCTGCACATTACATTTGAATAGCATGCCGGAAAGCGACGGCTGTCCGGTACCCGTCGGGGTTTGGATGAACTGGCATCAAACTTTGAGATTTTTCAGAGCCCGGCCGCGGGGTTCAAAGTTGACTTACAGCCACTGCAGTCAACGACACGGCTCAGCGAAGCCGCCTCACCGGTCCCCGACCCGCTGTCTGCTCACCTCGTGTCTTTTGCCCAGATCGGGAGAATGGAAAATTTCCCATTTCAGGCAAACAATAGTGAGCTGCCATGACATCACTGGTCGGGTTGGGGCCAGAAAGGCAGTCCATGCCGGCGGTAGCCCATTCGCGATGGCATTCCCCTGGGCTCCTCCGAGTGGAGCGAGTACAAGAATTGGGTTATCGCCGAGATCGCAGGAGGACCGCTGTACATGTGCCATGGGAAAGTCGCGTCACCAAATCTTCAGAGGCTGTGGTTCTGAACCCCCCAACGGCATGCATGGCCGAGGCCCCGGGTCAAGCTGCTGTCTCGCGCTGTCACATGGCTCAGCGCGCGTACCTGGCAGCAGTGACAGGCTGCTCGGGTGGTGAACCGTCTCCGTCGGTAGCGTTTCCGGGGGCCGCCGCCGCAGGCTCTGCTGGTCTCAAGCACCGAGAACGCCGAGATGCCAGACCTCGCATCTCGGCGATATCCCGGAGGTGCCCGGATTCCCGCGTTCGGTCCTGGAACCAGAAGCTTTTCATCTTTTTAACAAATTCGATCTGATTCGATCATTTGGATAGGATTTTGTCTACGGCGTGATGAGTTAAAAGGTTTTGCATTGCCTGACTGGTTTCGAATAGGAGTCTTGCGCCATCGGCTTATTCCGATAGTAAAGGACTCGGGAGGAGGCATGTTCCGGGATGTACTCCACTCTAGCGAGAGGAAGCCTTGAAAATTTCCTTCAATTAGCCTCAAAGTTGTATGGAGACTGGTCGATCGCGATTCCTCGAGAGCAAGACTCGAGAGAATCTGTAACTACTGCGGAACGTGTTCCGGAGCCGTTCCGAGCGCACTTGATGCAGTGAAAGGTCGCAGGAGGTCCGCAGAAACGAGCGACAGACATCATGTTATTGGCCAGTGCTTAATTTAGCTCATCAATGACATGTTCATATGTCGCCCATATTATGTCGTCCAATGTCGCCAAAAATTGCGGATAGGTACACTGTACGAGGATAATGGTGACATAGGCAATCTGGGCCTGTGATCTACATCAGAGCCTCTCTACGAGCTCTCGCTTGAAAGAGCTGGCATCTCTGTCGATCTCGCCATGGATGACAACCTTTGGGAGGTAAAGCCTGAGAACCGCTTCATAGAAAAGGCCTACGAAGAATCCAAGCCCGGTAGGAGTAATGCAGCTCAAAAGAAGCAGCCAACCCTATGCGTAAGTAAAGTAGTAATAACAAGAACGCGAAGAAGCCACGCTCCATATTCGCTGCATTGAGCGTACAATTATCAAACCGTAAACAGACTTAATAGTCTTTGAATTGTTACCTCCTCAGACGGGATGGAGCGGTCGAAAGCCTCACCAATCATCTTGACGTTCGTCCACTTCAAGAGTAGGTCCGGATGTTGCAGAAATCATAGACACAACCTCGCCCTGATGGTCGGGTCTTTCCAAGACAAGCAACCCGAGACAAAGCCACCAGAGTCGTGCCTCAAACAGTATCGCCTCGTCAACAACAGGCGCGTAGCAACTTGGACGACGTGTCCAGCTTCAACGGGGAAGTGAGCCGGGAGCACGCAAACGAGGCAAACCCTCCGAACTGCGTCGCACCCGCACCCGACGAACTAAATATGTCCGTCATGTGGTAACGCAGCTCAGGAAGCAAACAAGATGTGTCTCTATGATGAAGATTTCATCATGAGTGATGAGAGATGAGGCGAAGGAAGTTTGTGAATCATTCACCTGCCAGCCAACTCCGTGATGTGATTCATTACTCGCATACTTGTGCCGCCCTCAAGACCGTACAAATAGAAGCCTCGTCAATCTTGCCACGAGGGAGAAGAAGCCCATGAAGATGCGTCTTGATCACCCAAACTTCACACCACCCAAAATTCCCTTGATACTCGCAAGAACGAGGCAAACAAATTGACAAGATGCTCCTCCCAACACCCACGGCCCTCTACTTCCTCCTCGCCATCACCATGGCAGCAACCTCCCAATCAACATCCATTCCGTCCCTGTCCCCGTCCCCGTCCCCGTCCCAGCCACCCATCGACGACGGCACAGTCTGCCCCGGGAATACAGTCTCCTGCCACGAAGGCTGCATCCCACCCGACGCCGTCTGCTGCCACGCCTCCTCCGAGACCTGGTGGTGTAGAAAGGGCATGGTCTGCGGCAAACACGAAGCCGGCGGTTGCATCCACCCGCCACACCAAGCCTCTCCCTCATCCTCTGCCCCTACAACAAGCCACGACTCCTTCGCCACGGGGACAGAGAGGGTGTTGAGAGCAAGTCTGACGGCCGTGACGACGACGACGACAAGCGGTCGCCAGCTTCCGACGTGCGTCTTTGAGATGCCGCCTATCGTGCATAGGCAACGGCGGGAAACGGAAACGACTACGGTGTCGGTGTGTCCCACCGAGTTGGCCTCGGCCACTTCCGTCCCGGGTGCCGCTAGAGGATCCGGGCCGGCGGTGATCGGTCAGTCGTGGGTTGTTGTGATGTTGGTCTGAAGAGGCAAAAACGAGAGGTTCGATTTCTCCATGCAGATTAGCTTAAACTACACCGATGATTCCTTTTTCCCATTTCTTCTTAGAGTTGTGAACCCCATTGTGTAAGGAATGTTAAAGACGGGGTTTAGGATACGCAAAGGCTCGTTCTCTGGCCCTGTTGCTGTCCAAACCCTCATTGACGACGCGTAAACTCTGGGAAAGGGGTTTAGCCATCACGCGAGCGACTGAACGAGGTGTCAGAACAGAAACCAGGGACGCGGTACGACGTCCCCGTGCTGGCATTAGAAGCGTGTAAACTGATAAAATGGACGAATCAACTCGGTTCCTCCGTCATATCTTCCTCTGTCTCTGTGTGTCTCTCTCTCGCCCCTCCCGTTCGGGCACCCTGGTCGCCGCATAAGACGTGTCTGCGCAATACACGCATTCACCCATTCGCATTTCGATAGACCGTCGCTCAGATATTCGTAGACGCACACTCGAGGCGGCCAGACTGAAGACTGACTGTTCCAAGTACTTGCGCTGGAGTCCGGCACTACCCAACGCAGAAACGCCGTTCCCGCGGTACGCCGAGGGTCGACGGGGATCTTGCAATGCCCTCTCTTTCTCACCAAAACAAAAAGAAGAAGTCGACAAACACACATGAATGCGCAGCTCTACCCAACCAATGGGCCGTATTATAAATCGTGAGGGGCGTTATATATAAGTTGTTACTCTCGAGAGGTTAGTCGTGTAGGGGTCGGCGAAGTACTCGTCTTTATGACTCCTGGTTGACGGTTTGCTAGCAGAAGAAGTCAGTACTCCTGTCCAAAATAAAGTTGGGCCCCCTTCTAGCAACCTAGAGGGGGCATTCTTCAGAGTATGCACGTACAACAAGCCAGTCCATGCCCTCCGTGACACCGCTACCGTCGACCGCAGAGCAGGCCATGATGCTCCAGTTCCGATCGCGCAGCTCGCCGAGGCGTAGCGCCTCTGAGATCTCGCCCGCACCCTTGGCGCCAGGCTGATCCTGCTTGTTGGCGAAGACGAGGAGCGAGGCATCCTTGAGCTCCTCCTCGTTGAGCATGGCGCCCAGCTCCTCGGCGGCGGTCTGTAGACGCTCAATATCGGTTGAGTCGACGACGAAGATGACGGCCGCCGTGTTGGCGTAGTAACACCGCCAGTAGGGGCGGATGCTGGTTTGACCGCCTAGATCCTATAGTCGGGCGCGCGCATGGCTGTTGTCAGTCTCTTCCAGGTTCCTCTGTGTCTCTCGTTTGCGTGTGGTATTGTAGTGGTAGGGGCTTAGGGGGGCGGTTGCATACCCAAACGTTGAAATTGAGGTTTTTGTATGTGACGGACTCGACATTGAATCCTATCGTCGGGATCGTGGTGACGACTTCACCAATCTGGACATGTCAAAGAGGGTCAGTCAAGAGCAGTTTGCGAGACGCACACCTTGAGCGACAGCGGGAGAGAAGTCGGCTTTAAACTCACCTTCAGTCTGTACAAAAGTGTCGTCTTGCCAGCGTTATCCTATAATCATGAGAACACGGTGGTTTGTCAGCCTGGCGTCTCCGCGTTTCGGACGAAGTTGTTGCATCATGGGCTTGTTGGCGAAAAAGTAGGGTGGGAGATGCGTACCAGTCCCAAGATCAATATGCGAATCTCCTTCTTCGACCACACGAGGCCCGACAGCCAGGACATGCTTGCGCCCATTTTGAAAGAGAAGATTTGTTGCTTTTCGCGGGGAACTCGGTGTGGGATGAGGTGGTCGTTTGTGTATACACGGGGCTTTCGTTAGGGATGCGGAAGGCCGTGTGCGGGTTCGGGGTTGAGTTGCGACTTGTATGCTGTCACAATATACGCGGTTGGCCTCGGGACAGGAGGGTCACGGAGGTTCAAGGTAGCTAAGGTTGCTGGTGGTAGCAAAAGGTGGCTTGTTTCCCAAGGGGCGAGCAGCAGCAGCAGTAGAATGACGAAAGCTGACCAAAGAAAAAGCTCCGCCCACTTGCTGGAATTATGTACAAACGCAGGGCCTTTTCCCGTTGGTGAAGAATAGGAGCAAGACGGGAAGGGGTGTGAGAAGAAGAGGGCAACGAATTTCAGTGGCGTTCAGGGGCAAAGAAGAAGTAGCTTCTCTCCTTTTTACTGTTTCCGAGGGTTTGGCTTAATTCGTCGTGGGTTTCGTTTCGTCGAGCTGTCTTTTTTGTCTTTACGAGTAGCAGACAAAGGACCGTTGCAAAAGAATCTCGGATGGCTTGACTTCCCCCCTAAGGCGTAACAGTAAAGGTAAGGTAGCGGAACGGGTCCCCCCTAATTGACAGTTTTCAAGACATGCATGGATGGGACATCTGGGCGTCCCAAAGGGTCCGCGGGCTGCCACTTTTGGGATCGTCGACCGCTCAAGCCTATCGGCATGCAGGGATCATCACGTAGGCATACTACTGGGATGCTATGCCTGAGGCAACAAAGACTTTCCTTTTTTTCGTTGTCCAGTCTTATCTAATCAGCATCAGCACCTGAGAAAAAAAGTAGGAGCGAGCCACACGGCTGAGCCTCAAGAGGCGAGTGATCTCTCGTGCCGCCCCTCCCCCTCCGAAAGCGTGACCGACTCCACCTCTTGCCCTGTCCACCAATCAAGACGACTGCGGGCTCGCTAACCTAGTGCGCCTGGTGCACAAGAATTTCTCATTTCTAGTGGTGAGATCGATTCAACCCAACCCATCTGGAGAACAACTGCCACCCCAAAGGACTCGCACCAGTTTGATCAGCCAACAAGCCGTCAAAATGCCGGTACGTGATATACTACGCCCTCGCCCTCGTTCCACGATCTCTTCGACGAATGATGATGTTGCCCGCGACCGAATTTACCGACATACTGCGTCCCACGGCTGTGCACGTTTGAACGAGTACGGTCGGCTGTGGAAAGGGTTGATGAAGAAGTGAAGGGCAACATCGTCAAACGACCGAGGAGGGCGACCTGAACGAAGAGGAGGAGAACAAAACCTCGAGCTCAAGCAGAACGCTGACCATTTCCCGCGATACAGAGCCACAAGTCTTTCCGCACGAAGCAGAAGCTCGCCAAGGCGCAGAAGCAGAACCGCCCCATCCCCCAATGGATTCGCCTTCGCACTGGTAACACCATTCGGTACGATACATCCTCTCCCTCTGTATCCGTCCGGGAAGCCTGTCTTTTCGTCTTTGGGTCTCGAAATGATCTCAGGGCGAAAGAAGAGCCTTCGTTATGGACAAAACAACCCCGCCAAAAACATGAAACTAACATTTTGTCACAGCTACAACGCGAAGCGTCGTCACTGGCGCAAGACCCGTCTCGGAATCTAAACGTCTCGCCTCCTTCTCTCTTCAAATCCCTACCCTATCCTGCGGACTTCTATATGGATGCCGCCGACCGAACGACGACGCCGCGCTCGACTTGGGGGAAAACTTTCACATCAAACGGGAGGGGTTCACTCTGATGGACTCAAATACCCACTGGCTCGAGTCCTGAATTCGTGGGGGAGTCTCTTTTGACAACAGGATGGAGGGGAAACAAAATGGATGCCCGGTTCGGCTAGACTCTACGTATTGCATGTTACGGTCATAGGGAAAGGAAATGCAAAATTTGCCTCTGAAGAGATGAGGCCCCCACGATTACTTCTCGTCTGCTCTTGCGTGATGGGGTATTGCGTATGAGCCCTGCTTCTCCCTGCTTCTCCCTGCTCTTCGAGCCAGGCTGTCGCCAGCGGCAGAGAGTTCTCTTCTGGTTTTTCCTTGAGTTGCAGGAGCCAACTTTGGTCAGCGGTCTTCGAATTCCCTGCACATTGTCAACGGGCCACCATCCGGTCGTTCCATTGGAGATCTAAACTACCTCGTCAATAGCTAATGCGCATGGAAAAGATGATTCGTACCATCGACAGAAAGGGTAGCAGAGAGGCCTACAAATGAAAAGCCACTGCTATCGGGCCCAAGCAAGCCTTTTCTAACAGACCGTAGTGATACTGACCGCCAAGTTCTCACAGTCATCTGGCTTACAATTGTTCAATGACTCACTGTTGAATAAATTCGAGCCCGTGCCGACGATACAGCATGCTAGTGGGCAGTGAGGTTTGCCCGTTAGCCTTACCGCTCAAAGCCTGGAACTCGTTGACCTTCGTCCTGTGCAAAGATCTCGCTGTATAGCCGACCTCAACATCGGATTTTGTAACAGCCTCATGGAACCTAGATAGATCGTCTGGGGTTAGTAACGCCAAAAATGTCACCCACCAACAAACAACGCTATGCTTTAGACGCGAAATCATGACTTAATTGCCTTGCTATGAAGATGTAGCAAAACCAAGTGGGACGCGCGCATTATCTGCTGCGCATGGGATGGACTTTGTGTTAAGCACCTCATCTACCAAGCGTCCCTTTCCCTATGGGACGTGAATTCCTGACCTGTGGAGCAACCCGCAAACTTTCCTGGGTAACCGAAAACGAATCAATGAACGATCGTTAAAACGCCGGAGTACGATGCGTCACACATTAGCTGTGCAGAGAAATGTCCGAAGAGTAGTCAAATCCAGACTCCGGCTCTTCCGCCACTTGATTTATCGTGATGTCTAACGGTCTTCGGCCCACTCGTTCTCGCGGCGAATCTGCTCCTCCTCTTCGGGGGTGAAGTCGTTGGTGATGTTGAACGTCTTGCGGATCTCCTCCGGCGACTTGCCCTTGATCATGTTGGCAACGGTCTTGCAGCCGACGTCAAGGAGGGGCTTGATGTCCAGGTAGTTAGATGCCTATGGACATGTTAGTTTGATTCAAGTAGATACGACAGCGACGGGCAACTCACGAGGATGATCTCGAAGAGCATCTCTTGGTCAACCTGCATGAACTTCTGGTCCCATTCCTCAATCTCGGTGGTCTTCTTGCGGGCGTCGTTCTCGTCATCGGCGGTCTGGACGGGGTCGGCGCGGTGGTGGTCGCACCACTCGATGACTTTGCGAAGGACCGCCTCGTTGACCTGGGAGGAAATGTCAGCGCTTGTCGATCAGTTGACCAAAAGGTGAGGTGAGGCGACGCGTACGTTGGGGATGGGAATGGGGTTCTCCTGGCTGATGGCGTCATCACCAACATCCTCAAGCATGTTCTTGATGAGCATGGAGCGCTCAGCGACAACACGATCTGGAGGGCATGAATTAGCATGGGGTAGCAAAGAGTAGGCCCGCTGGCGGAAGGAGGGGTCTGACGTACCGACGGAGATCGTGATGCTGTCGTTGGACTGAACCCAGATCTTGGATTCTTTCTTCTCGGCGGCCATTTTGTCTGGTTAGATTGGTATCTGCGATGTGGGATATCTTGGAGCGGTCAGCTTGAAGGTGGTGAATGGCGATAGTTGACGGGCGGTGATTGATCGAAGGATTGAAGTTGGTTCTGGAGGATGGTGGGGAAGGCAGAAGAGTCGATCGGTGGTGGGGAAGGAGCAAAGGAGTGGGATTATATAGCTGGAGGCCTTACGTTTATGATTCGGAGATAGAGCTGAAGGTGAAGATTTCGTATGCGACCGGCGACAGTAGTTTGATTGGAGAGAGGTGACCAAACGGAGCAGTGAATATGTGATCGAAGATGGCTTTTGTTGCGTCAGACGTTGAGTAGGATAGTTTGGGGGGTCGGAGCGGCCAGGCGGCTGTTGGTTGTGGAGAAGTGGGAGGCAGAGAGGGCGTCGCTACCCGTGGAAGTTGAGGGAGCAGGCAGAGGTGAAGGGCGGCAGTTGCTTTGATTGGCTCAAAACGGGCTGATCTGTTCGTGCTCTTATGGGTCTCTACATCTGTTGCCTGGAGAACTTTATACGGCTGGAGGTGCCTACCCTTTGGTGCCTTTCAGCAGGCCATCAATGGCCTCGGTGGACTAGCAAAGGCACAGCAACTCAATGGACATTGGACATGACCTGGGAAAGAACAACCCTCTCGTCCAACATGGTAGAAAATGAAAGTCTCATGCAGAGAAAGTCAAAGGCAGAAGGTTCCTGGCGGTGTTAGATCACCTTACCCTAGGTACCTACCATACAGAAAACACCCATTTGCCTGAGTGACTCTTCGCCGAATACAACTCACCTTTGTGCGCAAAAGCAAGGACAGAGGCACAGCCGGCTCCCTTACATAATGACGGACAAAGAGATGTTTTCAGCTTGTACGGAAGTTTCGCCCAGACATTGGCCCCATCGGCCTTCTTTTGGTGGTACGATGTAAAGAGAGAGTCTATAATATATTTGCAAAGATACTGAAATAGCACCAGCAGTAAGATTTGAGAAGAACTATAGAGTCATGCATCATTACAAGGCCCTTCAGTGTGAAGCTTGTGTATCCTTGACGGCTCAAGGCGATCTGACCTGACGTAACCTGGAAGACTCCCACCGAGCTGATTCACCCACAGGCCTAGCTGGGCAGGCCCCATTAGGTAAGCTTCAGCCTGTGCCCGATTCCAACAGGCACATTCGCATCGACTCCCAGGCACCTGTGATAGAGAAAAACATGACCTCCTTGAGGGGGCAAAGTCTGTCAGCTGCTTCAACCAAAGTAGTAAGATATCTTTGTTCATCGGGCTTTTGCCCCTAGTCAGTGTCTTCCCTGTACAGCCAATGTATGTAGACGAAGCTCAAGTCGAGATTTTAAGCCAAGCTAGATTCTGGACATCATTGCTGGTCGAAAGAGGCAAACTTGGGAAGCGAACCACAACATGAGGTGATACAGAGTAGCAGATTGCTACAGATTGTCCGAAAAAAATGGGGCCTGCTAGATCTATATACCATCCATCCCATGACCCTGAGGCGATATCTGCTGAGGGTGACTCGTGATGAGGGAAGCTCAGGTACCTTAGATTCGGCCAAGTATCGTCCTTCTCTCCCACTCTGCCACACTCAGAGAAGGTAAGAAACAGTACAATTCGAATATGTGGCCCTCAAAGTACCGAGCAAAAAGACCAAAGAGCATAGTATTCGGACTTTGGTACAATCCGACGTGATACTTCTCTACAACGGATTGTAGTTGCTTGACATCTCTCTGCAGGCGGCAGGCCAATTCTCGGAGCCGGACAGACGATTAATGCCGCTACACTCGGATAAGAATCTCGTCGCCGCTAAGCTAGAGGCCGAGGAGACCGGCAAAGCAGAACCGGGGCGGCGGAGAGGGTCGGTAAGGTACTGTCAGTGTCTACTTTTAGTGCGCCGTATCTGCGGCGACGGAGCACCGCCTCCTCCTGGGCAACGATTCCATCGTGCACAACATGCTTCGGTGGATGGCTTTGACTCTGGCCCGCTTCAGGGTCGACGCTTGCTCATGACATCTGGTGCCTACCCATCAGATCGTGTTTTCTCTGTCTCGGTTCGTGAAGCGAGCGGCTGCATTTGCCGTCACTACTTACGCGTGAGCAAGATGGCATCGACTTATACGAGAAATATCGTGGATAAGCTCTCGTACCAAGCTCTCGTACCGAAGGAAATGTCCGAAAGGAATCTGGAGCTGCCCAGGATGTGGACACGACGAGACAGGGCCGATGGCGAAAGCGAGCTGCAAGCACTTTACGGAGCCTGTCTTCTCCACGGATCTGAGCCCCCGCGACGCGAGCAGGGTAACGCCAATCTCGTGGCGCAAGACACTGAAGATGGCGGCAGCTGGTCTCGCATTCCTGGTCTCCTTGCTAATCGGCGTACAGTCTACAGAGCATGTGTACTCCTTACGGATGATACAGAATACTCTGTAAGCTGAATTGCTCGTTGAGCTGAGGTTCGGAGTCAGTGAGATACCAATTTCTCGGAATAGGGCAAAAATGTGGAATGCATCAATGATGACTGGGCCGGTTTCATGGAGACGCGCCAGTGGGAGTGGGCGGCGCGCCTGCGTCCGTGAAATTTAATGATTCGCAATCCATAGCGCCGGATGTTGATGGGGCCCGCGATCCCGAAGCTTCCGTCGACGGTCCAAGGCGCGAACGCGACTACGACCGCGGATGCACAGATGGCGTCCCGGGATTGGCATCGTTACGTTCGTCTGATATCGATATCGGCTTTCTCACCAGACGAACAGAGCGTTGAAGCCCGGCATGGCTATCTTTGGTGCGACTCCAGAGACATGTTGGAGACAAGTACACCAACTCGCAAACGTTGACAGGTTGTTGACAGGCAGCTCCCATGCTGGACAGATGGGAAATGATGCATAATGACAGCAAGACATGACGGATAGACGTGGTTCGAGAAACCTGCTGACAGAGTCGGCGTTATCTGGTTGGCTGTCACGGAAAAGGGTGCTGTCCCCTGGCGAGCGTTTGGAGTGGACGAAGAGGCCGAAAGAATTTGAGGGTGGAAAAGAAGCTTTGAATGGGGCCACCTCGCTCACAACAAACGCACCGATGGCCCTATGGGCAACGATGCCAGTGGCATGCACCGTCCCAGATTTTCCCAGGTGCTCGCCGGTGGCAGTTGGCCTTGGCCATTTTGGGAGTTAGCGCTCCCAACCGAAGGGCCCTAGCAAGAAGAGCCTGGCAGGGAACAGGGGCCCGTTGCAGCAGACTGGCGGGTTCTCAGGAGGCACACTCTCCAAAAAGTTGACGGGAGCCAAAAGGTTCGGTTTTCTTTTCTGCCACCTGCCAGTACCGAACTAACACATCGCGGACTCGTGCGTCACGCTTCGCTTCATCGTGGGACGGGAAAGCTGCACCGGATTGGCGATTCTCGTATCTGAGGTGTGCGGCGTGCCGGGGAATAAGCATTACTTACTGATATTCTACCTACGTACCGTCAGGCGTGGCAGGAAGGCACCCATGTGCCTTGTTATTCGTACGGATACCAACCTTACACCGGGTAAGTTAGGTGGGAAGGAACGAACACTCCGTGGACCGCAAGGTACAAATTAACAGATGGGAGAGGGAGGAAAGAATAAACACAAGAGTTGCAACTGCCAACAACCTGGGAGGAAATGACAATCGCCCACCCGCCTTACCTCCCCGGTCCTTAGACTCTGCCATGATTGGAGCTTCCAACCTTGACACCTCCCGTCCCTCCTTCCCTTCTCTCCGTCCCTCTTCTTCCTCCTCCTCCTCCTCCTCCTCGAGTCCTCTCCCGTCTCTCAGGTTCTCAGCAGACCTCACTTCACAGTCACACCCTGAGCTCATCTCACTTGTGACCTGGCTCTCCTCTGGTGGGAACTGGCAAAGGCAAAAAATCAAACAACAAGTGCCCAAGCACCAAACAGAAGCAAGAACAGGGGCCATGTGCCCGCTAAAGTAGTCTCAGAGATTGCGGATACACCCTCATATGGATAGTTCTGGGCCTATTGCTCGGGAACTGGAGCTTACACCACTTTACTGTGCCTACAAAATACACGTACCGACCAGGTTCCAATTTCCATAGCTTCAAGGTTGTAAGAGCAAGGTAGGCAGGCACTCGTTCTCCGTTCGCCGTACTCTACACTAACCCTGGAAAGTCCCCTCCAAGGTCCAAAAGAGCTGCCGTGCGGGCTGACAGAGCCCGGCAGCGACACTCAGTCACTTTCTCGACCCGAGTCCACGCAAAAAATATCCTGACCGTCACCCTACCTTACCTGACCTTGGACTTATTTACCTGGCCTTGCCTTGCCTTAGTCGCACCTCGACCTGCGCATCTCTTTTCTTTTCCCTTTGCTTCTCTCCCACCTCTCTCACCGGGCCTCACCTTGCAAATAATAATATTTTCCCTTCTTTGCTACTCTTGCTCCATCCTACCTATTTCGAGCCTTCACCTTAACCCCCACCTCGACCTCCTTGGCCTCTGCTGCGCCTGGCAAACCATCGCATACCTGGCTCCTTTACATGCGCTTCTCCTCCTGATGATGCGACCTTGCGACATACCCTCCTTTTCGCAACAAACCTCTCGCCGACCTTGCTCCGCCTAATACTCGACACCTGGCTACTTTCAGCCTTCGATCACGAACCGATGCCCGAGCTACGCGCAGCAAAAACTACCACCCGATCATAATCGAGAGCACCTAGAGTCATGTGGCGGAGAGCATACCTGTTCCTGGTGCTGGTCAGACTGTGGTTCGCCCTGTCGCCCAGCTACCTGCACCCCGACGAGAATTTCCAGGGCCCAGAGGTTATCGCAGGTACGTTTGGCTTGTTTTGCAGCTGCTGCATCCCGTTGCCTGGGTAGAGCGTGCGCAGCTCTCTGTTTTGCGCCATGGAGCTTCCTCCAACGGAGCTCGGATTACGTTTGGCGCTCCTTCTCGCTCAGCAGGACCTGAGCTAACGGTGTGGCGCAGGCCAAATTTTTAGTTACCCGGTACGGCACACTTGGGAATTCACAAACGAGCACCCGATACGAAGCGTCTTCCCCTTATGGCCCGTCTACGGCCTGCCCATGATGTTGCTGAGATGGCTGTGGATCGGTAACGGCAAGGATGGCGAGATCCCCCCCATCGCAGTCTTTTGGACACTCCGCGTTCTCATGTTCGTCACCAGCTTCGTGCTCGAGGATTGGGCCATCCACGAGCTCATTAGCTCTCCACGACACCGTCGCGTTGCTGTGCTTCTGGTCGCCTCGTCCTATGTCACATGGACGTACCAGACGCATACATTCTCCAACTCGGTGGAGTGCTTGGTGGTTGCATGGTGCTTGGTCTTAATCCAGCGCATTGTCGAGAGCCCAGTAAGGACCCCCTTGGCACGATTTTGTGGATACCACAACGTAAATGCTAACGCTTGTGACAGCAACAATCATCGCTTCTTGCTTCTACGATTCTCGGCATAGTGGCCGTCTTTGGGTTGTTTAATAGGATTACTTTCCCGGCGTTTTTGTTGATTCCGGGACTTCGCTTGATACCCCATTTCCTCAATAGGTAGGACTGCCCAGGCATCTTGACATCAGGGGACCGCCGCCCACTAACAATCCACCAGACCCATGTCCTTCGCCGTGACGGTATTGGCAGCTCTCACGACTACCTTGGTCGCCATCACCCTGGATACGGCATTTTACCTCCCTGAGCCCATCAAGTGGGCAGACCTCATCTCACGGCCGGTCATCACGCCACTAAACAACCTAATGTACAACATCGACACAGACAACCTTGCGCAGCATGGGCTGCACCCCTGGTACCAGCACCTGCTGGTGAACATCCCCATGCTGATCGGCCCAGCTGCGATGCTGCTCTTCACTCAGCCGTACATCTCGTTACGACTCTACTCGGCCATCTCGGGTGTCTTCGTGCTATCTATATTCCAGCACCAGGAAGCTCGGTTCCTCCTACCCACCGTCCCGCTCATCCTCTCATCAGTTCATGTCCCAAAGAATCGGACTGTCCTCCGCGTGTGGATCGGGGTGTGGCTTGGCTTCAATTTGATATTTGGCATTCTCATGGGTGTCTATCACCAAGGCGGTATCGTGCCGGGCCAGGTGTTTTTGAGCAAGCAGCCAGACGCGACGCAGGCCGTCTGGTGGAAGACTTATACGCCACCCATTTGGCTTCTTAACGGCAAGAATGAGGTGCTCACGACGCGCGACGTGATGGGTATGAAGGGCGACACGCTCCTCGAAGAGCTGACAAAGCTCGCGACCTGCGACACGCCAGCAGACCGGCGCAACTCGGAGTATTTGAAGGAGAAGAACGGAACCTACCTGATCGCACCAGCATCAGCAACGTGGATCGACCCCTATCTTCCCAACAAGGGACTGAAAGGCCTGAGGTTTCGCGAGGTGTGGCGCTACAGACAGCACTTGAACCTAGACGACCTCGACTTTGGGGACGACGGCATCTGGAATACCCTGACAAGGGTGATTGGCAGACGTGGGCTCGTTGCCTGGCGTGTGACGAAGAGCTGCAAGTGAGGGCTATGAAGTAGATTCCAAAAGCAACGAATGAAAAGACTTGAACGTTTTGATGATTTGAAAAGTATCCGATTTCTAAAAGCAAATGGTATCGTGACTGTGTGTCCTCCTTGGTGTGTAAGTTAATCCCTGTAGCGACTAGCCCCCTGAAATATCTCGAGCGCCGAACCGATGGCGCCAATTTTCAATCATGTTCACGAGTCCTTTTGTTTCGCGAGAGATTCCCTAGGACCTGTTACAATCGTAAGAGACCCTTCCCCGAGTTCCGATATCATCCCGTCATCTGCGAACAGAAACCTACAGCGCATAAATGAGCGCTTCGCAGACTTTCCCGTGCCGCCGGCATTTATCCAGAACTATGCCGATGACCACCCACAATAATCCAAATCGTGTTTCCTATTGCGTGTTCCTGCTGCGTGAGGTATGTACGATTGTACTGTACCGATACTCTCATGGCTCCAAGTTACACCTGGACGGAGACGGAGACGGAGACGAATACGGCGAAGACGACAAGTGACCCCTTCCTGAGCCTTACGCCGCCACGCTCGTCTTATTGACGTCCACGACGAAGTACCAGTTCCCCGAGACGTTCATCGTGCCCAGTTTACTCTTCATCCAGCAGACGTGGTTGCCGTAGTAATCGCCCCAACCCGCGCCGACGCAGTCATCGCCCTTTGACGCGCAGAGGTCGATACAGGCGGCCATGGTAGTGGCGTTCTCGGACGTCAGGTCGGTGGCTCCGTCGGCCGAGTTGAAGTCGTGGCCGCAGATCATGCGGAAGGTGCGTTTTGGGGCGTCGGGGGAGGAGTAGGTTGCGTTGTCTGCCGCAGGGCAGATGATTGTTGCGTTTTTGGTTGATGTTGCTGGGGTTGTTGTTGAGTTGCTGCTTGGGTTGTTAGTTCAATGAGACTTCGGGTACGTGATCATCTGAGGAGATGGACGAAAGGCAGGAGAACGTGAGATGAAAGTGATGTGTGAGCAAGAGAAACGTACCCTGACGAAGACTTGTTGCCCGAATCGCTCTTCTTCATCGCCAAGCCTACTCCGAGGCCGACGGCGATGGCTGCCACGATGAGGACTATGGCGACGCCCATGACGATGTAGCACACCTTCCTGCGTATCCCACACATCTTGGCCTTCCCTTTACCGGACCCATCTCCGTCGAGAGATCCGGATCCGTACCCCGGCGATCCGGGCGGCGGCTGGTGATACCCGGGGGGATGCTGCTGGCCCGCAGCGGCATAGTAATGCGGCGCCGCGGAAGTGATGGAGGGCGAGGACGAGACCTCAAGGTTGGGGTTCTGCTTGTGGTAGTGATGCCACGATAACGGGTCGTCTGCGACCTCGGGGAAAGTTGTGGTCTTGGCTTCCGAGTGATTGTAAGGTGAGACTTCTGGGAGATGGATATCGTTGCGATTCCAGGCGTTTGGTTCAACTACTTCGAGGCCAGATTCGTAGACCTGTTGCTGCTGTGGTGGTTTCGTCGTGGATGTTGTTGTGTTTGTTGGCGCCGTCATTTTGAGAAACTTCTCGGATGCCCTTGGCCTCGGGCCCTCCATGGCGTTTCCTCCCCTGAAGAGACTTTAATGGTTTTTCTGTGTCCGACTCTCCGTCTTCTCTTTGCTCCTCCGATTTGCTGCGCCTCCCTGTTTGAATGAGATTCCCTCGCTCTTGGCAATATGTCTGCCTGATTCCCAGCGGAAAGGAAGTCTTTCGGACCAAAGTGAATGAATATTTGAGACAATCCCCCCCGCAGCTTGTAAGTGTATCGCCAAGAGATATCCGTACGATGCGAATAGGTTAGAACCCCTTTTATTTGCGGAGGAGACGACCGAGTCCAGCCAAGTGTCTGAGCCAGGGTATGTAGGTAGGAAGGAAGGAAGAAAATGGGGATGCAAGTGAGCAGGACAAGCGAAAGGGGAGAAGCGTCAAGGAAAATGGGAAGGACTGCCGGCATACGAATAACCCAGGTCGAGGCAAGCACTGTAAGCAAGACCAAAAAAAGCAAAAAACGGGTTACCTATGTGCCTATCCCACTGGCGGACTGAACACCCCCCTGTCCGGGGCAAGCTTATAGTTTAATACGATGAGTTTGGCGCGGTTCTGTTTCCTCTCAGCCCCGGGAGGTTTGTGCCTTATTCAGGTCCCAGGATTGGATAGCTCAGGAAATAATTTGGCTGGCCTGCTTGCCGGTCCTCCTTAAGGCTTACGGAGTAATAGTATACGGGCTGAAGAAGGGTGGGTTCCCATGCAGGCCGTGGGATGTGTGATCGATGAAGACGGGGTATGATCTACGGATACCTCGATACACGCCGCATTGCTTGATTCTTGGACCAGAATCAAGGGCTGATCCTGAATCCTACCTCAGACTTGCATACTTCTGCTGAAGGTTGTCACTTCCCTCGGCGAGTCTCGCGTCGCGTGTATAGCCCATTGCCGAGCTGGAGGGACAGGTAACTGACCAAGCGAGTCAACCGGATCATGTCAGCGCGCGTGGGATTTTCGCGCTTGTTAGTTCTAAACTTCTCGCAGTCTCCTTACCTTTTTTTTTCCCTCTTCGTGCTCATTTGCTGTTGCCTGCCGCTACGGTCTGATACTCATTACCTTTTACCTCACAAGGCGTTTCCCGCCCACGGGCCTCCCCTTTTTCAGCCCCGTTCGTCAGCCACCAACTCTAAACGACTCCGGGAAGGCGCGCGTGGGGAGGGAGGGAGAGAGAGTCAGGAACAGGGAGGGGGCTACCAACGCGGGGACCTGCCGTGAGGAAGAAGGGGGCCTGGCGGTCCTTTTGAGGTTCGAGAAGACGCCTTTCTATCGATGAGATGCCCTATCTTACCACAGAAAGACGACGTCAAATTTTGATATATCGATTCTCCGGTGCTCCGCATCTCATTTGCGGGAGGATCAGCGGCCAGTGACAGCGTAAACGTCATTCTTAATGGTAGGGAAATGGTTGAGAACTATTGCATTATATGTGAAATGGTTCTCGAAGAGAAAGCCGGTCTAAATCATATCACAGAAAACGTCTGCGCGAGAACTAGGTGTGTATGTAAGGGAAAAGACACCGTCAACACTCTCAAGTATTAGCCAACGGTGTTTCTTCTTGGGAGCGAGCCAGGCAGTTGGAGCTCTCGATCAGGCCAGTTGTACGGAGTTCGTGTTGTAGATAATCGTGAAGATTGATCTATTGATTGTTCTCTTGTATCCGCAGTTACTCAGAGGTAAGTGTTCAGAGTGCGGACAGGTAAATCCCTCATCTGCTATGCCAAGATTCCAATGCTTTCATTGGCTGGGTTCACCCTGAGTATTATGGGACCAGACTGCCCATTCTGACCAGAGCTTCTCCGGACAATTCCCCTTGCACACCACCACCACCACAGTGACCATACTTCCACATTTCCAGTCCGGGCGAATGCGATGCGGTTGCCTTGGCGAACCGTGAACGATCCCCTGTAAGGATACTGCCGTACGTTGCAAGTCAGCATCCCATCTCAAGGATTTGAAGAGGGGAAAGGTCTGGGGAACGTGAAGAGGAGGACCACCTGCCTCAGGCCTGTACCCTTTCGAGCACCTGCATGCCACCATTCCTATTTATCCCGTTCACCACCACTACATGACACCTCTTTGACACCTCTTGGTACGGATACAGATATGGCGCCGGGTCATGGCCATCGCCGGTTGTCATGGCCATCTCTTCCGTCTTGCCATGCCCCTCCCGTGCCATTTTCTCCTTGGGTCCGGCCAGTCCCGCACCGTAGTGTACTCCGTACCTATCTTCTGAAGCGGCAGGCGCGTAGTCATACCACACCACACACCTGCGCACTCAATCTAGAGTATAGGGAACAGGATCAGCAGCGGCGAGAAAGAGACCAAGAAGCGCTAGAAGCACAAGAAGAAGCACAAGAGGACGAAAGAGGAAGTAGGGGACGAGGCACAGGTAGACAAGAGGCACAGGGTCAGGTAAAGGCAAAGGCAGCAGCAGCTGCTGCCGCCGCCGTCTTTGCCAGTTACCTCAAGGTAGGTACGGAGTACTCACACCAAGGCAGGTGCCAGTGTGGCCCATGGCACGGAGTAGCCGCGGCGCCTCTCGCCCTGCCATGCATCATTTTCTCAGTCTCACCTCCGATTCTTGGATGCGGCACCCTTAAACATTAAAATGGCATCCTGCGTCCGCCCCGGCGCCTGCCACTTCACCTTGCCACCTGTCCCACGGTTCCTTCTCTACTCTACAATCTTTGGAGAACTTCATTGTGCCTCCTACTCCCCCAGCCCGTCAGGCGACGCATTGCTCTCCACCTTGACTACCAAGGCAGGACACAGCTTGCGCTCTGCTTACCACTGACACGGGCAGCAAGTGCAGAGTCACCAGCACGAAGTTGCCAGGCCACTTACACTCGGGCAATCGTTGCTGCGTCTTCCGTCCCGCCAGCGCAAAGTCGATCTGGACTCTGAAAATTTTGCCTTCAAGATAACAGAAGGCATAACTGCCTCTGCTACGTCTGTCTGGTCCTTCGACTCTGCCTGACCGGAATCTGGAGTCCTGGACAGATTATCCGTACGAATGCTTTGCGACCTTTCCTAGTTGGCGACCGAGTCAACGCATGCTTCCCGCCAATCACAACCAGCTCGTCAAGGTACCAACACTTGAACACACAGAGTCCACCTTTTCTTAGCCTCCAGGCTACCTTACCGTTCCAAATCCCCCGTTCCCAAGGGCCTTCAGCATTTCAGCCACCTCGCATACCTTAGGTTACATAAGGAAGCTCCGACGACGAGTCCCGCACACCCGTAACCCGTTCACTGCCTTGAAGGCTGAATCCCGATTCCGCCCGCCTCAAGCCGACCAGACTCCCGACCTCTGCAAGTCTGAACTCATCCACTTCGGGCTTCACCCACCGAAGCGAAGGGCCGCACCACCGACCAACCGCCGTCATCTCCAAGGCCAGCCGCCAAGAGAGCACCGCTTGATCCAGCTCCCCGTTGAGGTGGCAGTGCCTCCGTTTTATTGCAGCTCTCTACTCCGTACTCCGTACACCCTGTCCCTACGCAGTAAGGAGTACATACGGAGTAATAGGGCCTACGGATACAAAGACAGTTTCGACCTTTTCCCCTTGCCTCTCGGGAGTCTTGTTGGAATCCCACTGCCAAGGTCAGTTACGGAGTACCTTCGTTCGGTCATAGTCTCTCCGGCCGTGCCTGACACATACTGCAGCCCAGGCTACGGAATACAGATACCTGTCAGCGAAGACGTGCAGACTTTGACGCCGTTCCGCTGCAGACTGCCATCGTGCCAGCAAAGAAGGGTGGAAGAAGGGTGGAAGGGAACTTCGAACCCCCACTCTGCTGCGCTGCGCTTCGCTTCCAACCCCTCCGATCTTCACACCCTCCAGGGCCTCAACGACTACGACTGGTCGGCTGGCTTACCCCCCCGCGTCTCCGAATCACAGTCTCGATTTCGTCCCGCCTCCCTGCAACCCCAAAAACCAGGACACTACTACGTAGGTACTTCGTCCACTACACTAGCAGGCGACAAGGCGAGAGAAGAGCTGGGAAGGCGCCAATACCGGCAATCGCTGCACTGGTGACTGCACGGTCTTTGTCGAGGACCACGGTCCGCCACACACCGACCACATCCTGTTTGTCGCACATGCTCAGCCCTTGCGCCCCAGGTTCAGGCCCTCTTGCGACCCTCTTGCGACCCTCACTGGCAACGACACTCTGGCCAGGGACGCTCAGCTACAGTTTACCTCATTTGTCTACGACACCAGGAGCTCGTCTACCCCAAGGCTTGCCGAGCAACCGTATACTGCTTAATTTTGCCGTCCGTTGTCGAATCTTCCTGGGCTTCCCGACTGCTGAGAACAGAATCTCAGTTGTAGGTATTCTACCTCGTGTGCGTTATTAACTTGGTTGAGGCTTGAACAACTCGAGCAAGCCCAGACACAAGATTGGAAAGGCGATCAAAAATTCTCCACTCAACACCCACCACTTCGACACTACTGTGCAGAGTTACCCACTTGTTCCGAACGTTGACATCGATCAATTGGTCCAAAGTACCTTCGTACCTCGAAGCTTGGCCGACCCTGCGACCTGCCCTCGTCCGTCTTAGGTTCCTCATCTCTTTTTTTTTCCTTTCTGATTTTTATGAAAATCTTTTAGCAGCTATCCGTATACCCCACGCCACGGATATCCAATGTCCTATTCATAGACCTCCACAGTCCACACTTTGTTGTGCTTGGCAGTCGCTGTCACTCTAGTCTCTCGAGTCTCCCCTCTTCTTCACAAGAAAAGAAGACACACAAGAGGTTCCGTCACCCTCCCGGACGGACAGCACAAACCCTTGGCCAAGTTCCCACCACCACCACCACCACCACCACCAGCAGTACCTACCTCGCCGTCCAAAGACTCCAGACCACCACCAGCCGTACAGCCGTCGGGTAACAGACGTAAAGTACGGACAGACACCCAGAAACCTCCAGCTTCCGCTACCGGCCGGCCCAGCTTTTAGCCATCGCACCCACGGCATCCAACCCAACCAGGGGGCACTGGACTAACACGGCCCCCCCCCCCCCCCCCCCTTCAAGCCCACGCCAAACATTCTGTGACGAGACCGAAGAGCTCCCGCTCCACGCTCCACGCTCCAGGGCAAGAAAATCCCACTTTCCAGGCCGACCCGACCTACCATATCCTCGTCCTCGACTCGACCGTTTCTTTCGACGCCTGCCGACCGCCGATTGTCTTCGATCTCTCTCCTTCCCAAACTCTCGTGGCGGGGGAACTTAGAATCGCTTTTTTCCTCCCTACCATTCCTTTCCCATTTTGCTAGTTGTTTTGCTTCGCCTGACATGATTATCGACGGGGAGAAGTACGCCTGCGAGGCTTGCGTTCGGGGTCACCGTGTTAGCAATTGCCAACACTCTGGTAAGTTCTTGGGCCTTTCTTTGCAACTCTCTTTTCATTTCAATTGCACCCATGCAGTTGCAGTTCAGTTAGCCATACCATGGGCATAACCACAACATACCCCAAGCTACTACCTATTCACTTTGGGGGCTCCCTTCTCCAATTACCTACGCCACCGAGCATCGACTTCCTAGCAAACATGTGCAGCTAACCGTCTGTCTTGCTGCAGATCGTCCCCTTCAACATATTAACAAGAAGGGACGCCCCGTCTCCCAATGTCAACATTGTCGCTCCATGCGCAAGTCTCGCTCTGCTCACATCAAGTGCGATTGTGGCGAGAAGACGAGCAAATGCGCTCACCTGCAACCTTTAGCCGACGGCCATCGGGGTGAGTCTGCTCTGTGTTTTTGAAGAACGCACAATCGCTAGCCTTATGATGAGAACATTACCCATCTAACACTCATGTTCCCCATGCGCAGAGACTTGTTGCTGCAACCACGGTGGTCGCTGCACTTGTAGCCACAAGAAAGAACCAGCCCTCGACACCGTCCCCGAATCCGACTCAGACAAGGAAGCTCTCCCTCCTCGACCGAAGCCGCCCGTCCGCAGGCGGCGTGCGAACACGGTCCATTCTGATGGCATGTTGACCTTTGATGAGCATGGCCACCACAAACCAGCTCACAAGCTCAACAAGGCTTCTCAGAAGTGCGGGCCTTATCAACTCAACCGTGTCAATTCCTTGCACAGCACCAGCAGCTTGGGCAGTCACTCTCCGGAGCGCATCAGCGACATCCCTCTCAAGGATCCCGTATCAGGCCGTGTCGCACCTCTGCAACAGAGACTTGTCAAGTCTGAAGCTGCCTCTCCACTCATGAGAGGTTCATCCAGTTTCCAGCAACTCAACAACCAGCTTCCGCCCCTTGATCTTTCTGGCATTGAGTACCCAACATACGTACCCAACGCCTCTTTTGACCTGTTTGGCGGATCGGGAATGTCGTCGGATCATGATGCGCCTATCTTTAGTGCTGGGCTGAGCGCTGCGTCCGTGGATTGGAGCCACATCGATCTCACTGACAGGACGGATAAGTTTGCTCCCTCAAGTTACAGCCAGGCTGGCGCTCAGAGCTTCAATGGCATATTCGACTTTGGTACGGGCTCCGAGCCCGCTCCCACCCTCGCCGCGACTACTTCGACATCTGGAGAGGTCTCTGAAGTAGAGGACAACTTCATCGCTGGCGACAGTGACTACGACGGCTTTGGCACCGGAAGCAACAGCTTCATCCACCCAGCAAGTTTCCTTGCTACCAGCGCAGACCTTAGCACGATTGACTACGATAGCTTCGCCAAATCATCGAACAACAAGTATATGGCGGCTCCTTCTTCATTTGATGACGGCGGCCCGATTGCTGGCGGTTCCCTCACTTTTGACGATGACCCAGCGTTCTGGGGTCAGCAGTTCAACGACGGCATCGCCACATACCAAGAATCGCCAGACGGTCTGCCTGCGTTTCAGCCGGAACCCTGGACAATGCCTTAGGCGTTTTGATATGATGACAGTTTCGACGCTTGCACGCCATGATATCCAGTCCATCGACTTTAGACGGCAAGCACAGGCGCAAGGAATGCGAGCATGGGCGGGACGAGATTTTGTGGTGGACGGCTGGATAGATGCCCGCTACGATTTCCATACCTGGAGTTGGCGTAGATCTCTTGTTTTTTTCTTCAATTTTGTTTAAACTTTATTCGGACAGCATTAGAGCCCGTTTCTTTCTTATGTTTGACGTTAGGCTTGACCATGGGGCTTGAAAAAGAAAAAAGACGGGGCGGGCGGCTCAAAAAAGAGTGACAGCATCTCATTATCATTACTATCATCAACTGGACGTGGCGCAAAGGCAAATGGGTAGCATCTGGGTGAGGCTGTTGGGTATGGTTTGGTTAAAGACGACAACGAATTATGTATGTAGGCCTTGGAAACCGGACTTCGGTGTGCAATCGGCATACCTTTACGACATATCGTTTTCCCTCACTGCACATGGACAAGCTGTATATAGACGTTCGAGCGGTATAAATTCCTTGTTGAGGCGCGAGGCAATCGAAACAATATCTATATCCAAGCGGTCGCGAAGGCGCATGTACGCAGTATGGTTTCCACACAGTAACAGACAGTGGCTTTTTCTGCGCGTGTCCAGAGTCTTTGCGTCCAATTGCTCTTCTTTCCCCTTCATACGGGCTGCAAGTGGTTTCCCCTTCCCTGTCGACTAGCTGGCAGGTCATGGATAGGAGTGGGAATGGCTCAAAAGCGAGGGTGAGTGAGTATGGGAGTCGCTGATCGAGATTCGCAAGTCCGTGATAGTGGATAAAAAGGTTGAACTCGTCTCTTCATTGGCGATTCAAGAAACAATCTCTTTGTGAATTGCTCTACTATGCGCTTCTTCACCCCATTCAACCAAAGACCTAATGCCTCACTGGCTGCTCTTTTCCATTTTACTTGTGGCAGGCAATTTTTTGCAGTTTCCCCTTCATCATTAATTGTCAAGGCAAGTCAATAACACAGCCTAGTTATAGGACACCATAGTGCCCCCGTCAAAACGGTGCACGAACCGAAAACAAAAGTGACACCGATGGTGGATGACGAATGCGCAATGAGATGAGAGAGGGGCACATAGGCCCCAAGGGCCCAAACGACCTAATAAGATCAAAGCTTCGTAGCTTCGATGACGGGGGCCCACATCAATCAGATAAAAGGGCCTTGCAATAGCGATTGAGTTATGCGGCCTTGGGGGAGGGGGCAGCCTGGAGGCTGGGTTATTGTTGTTTAGGCGAGGGCTCTGTGCTGTATCCGTGTTAATACAGATGGGAGAGTAATCCTACGAAGTGGAGAGAGAGAGAGAGAAAGAGACAGAGTACCGTGCCGCTGCCTCACCATCGTTTGCTGCTGCTGATGCTTGCGGTGGCCTACCGGCCATTTGTTCGTTGCTACTAATAGATACTACCTTGCGCAGTACTATGACCTGCCTAGGTAGGTACTCGAGTGTTTACATGAGCCAAAGTCACTGCAAGAAAGGCAAGCAGCTGAACAAAAGGACGGCAATAGGCGCGGGCAGACATCTGCAGCCTGCAGGTCGTCCCTTCACGAACTACATGTACGGGTGTACGTTAGGGCTTTCAGGGCTCTCTTGGGGGAGACCCTCATTTCCTGTTCCTGCATATTATCCATCCAGGCTGGCTGGCTGGCTGGCTGGCACCGCCTCACCATCGGCGTTTTCCACCATGTCAAAACATGTGTCTGTGACTCTCTGCGACTCTCTGCGACTCTGCGCGCTGCGTGAGCCCGCCGTGGCCGCCTCAATGGGTGTTTTTCCCACCTGGTGCATGGGGTGATTGGTTTAACGGTTTGACGGTGGTCACCGAATGTGACGCTGTGGCCCGGAAATCGTAGCCCAGGTCCTGTCCAATCTCCATCCAGGGAAGTTCCCCCCTTTGCTGCATGCCATGGAGAGTGCCAAGTGAGCCCAGTGTTCCCACTGCCCACCGTTTGTGTTAATAGGTAATAGGTAATAGGTAATTCTCCTCCTCGGACCTCTCCTTCTCTTTTCTCGGGGAGGCGCGACCTCGAGTGAGAGGGGCTCCACTGATACTGGCGTTACGGGAATCGAAGAAGGATGCAACGGCGATTGATGAACCCACCCGAGCTCCGTGAGAACCTTGTGAAGTGGTGACTTATAATCATCCAGTCCCATGATCCATCAGGCCTTCGGTGTCCAAGCTCCAGAGCACGGGCAGACCTGAACCCCACTGAAGGGTTGTAAGAAGTTGTGGACTGTGGACTCCAGGGATACGCACACCTGGTAGGAGCGAAGGCTGACGACAAAGTACGGAGTACGGGATGCCAGAATAAGTGCCCCAAGTAATTCTTAGCATGCTATGCTCGCCGAAACGGTTTATCTGGGCCGGCAACGGTGGCTGGGTTGGTGGAGGCGCCACTTCCGAGCCAGAGAGAAAGAGCGAGAGAGTGTGGGTGTGTGTGCGCGACTATGTGGAGTGTGTCATCACCTGCTGTCAACACCGGCGCGGCTCTCGGCGTCTTGGACGAGGGAATGGGAAGGGGGGGCAAGAGCCAAGAGGGGGGTCGTCGACACGGGGGGGCTGTACAATTCCCCCGTGGCAGTAGATCATCTCCGGTGCTCGAGAGTCGGGACTGCAACGAATCGATGTACGGATAGACGACCTACCCCGAAACTTGAGTAGATGCCGTGTGCGATGCGAGTGTGTGTGTGTTCCTTGGCCTTGAGTCGCGGCTAACGTGCCAGTGACTGAGATTAAGTCATGGAACGGCAAACTCGGCAGTGAGAGAAGTCCCGGAGGGCGGGTGAGTGGGTGGTGGGACAGGATTCAGGAATAGGATACGGTGATACTTGCTGCCAGAAACTCGCGGCACTGTCTCATCACGGCTTTCCCCATCGAAGTTGGACCCCGGTTTCGATACGTTGTCAATCAATTTACTCTGACGGCATCCATCACATGGTTCTTCCTGCATGGGTCCAGCAGGCGCGCGGTGCGCCAACTAGCAGGTTTTCCCATGTGCCACTTGAAGATTGAAGAGCGTTTGGGGAGGGGGGGTTCCCTAGCAGCTTACCTTACTCTCGGGTCAAATTCTTCACCGCCTTCTACCTCGAGTCAACGACCAAGTTCTCAGGACCCCCTCCCCCAGGCGCAGCGCTTCGGTGATAACAAGGGCGAGCAAGGGAAATGATTTGGGGATTCCCAAACGAGAGCATCCGGTGGATATATTTATGGCGTCATGGTATTGAGCCATCGACCACGACGGACATTAACGTGAGAATAGGCTTGGGCATATAGGGACGTGGCTTATAGAGAGAACTAATTGTACATTACACTTCTTATTATTACAAGCCAATTCCGAGCCACCCACGCAGTGTCGCAAGCATCTATATGTTTCCCCGGTTGATAAAACCTTGCAGGTAAACCACCTGACGGATTCATATCGACCTTCTGTGCAATGACTACCTTGAGCATCCTTCCTACATGGCTACACTCTCCCATCGAGGTGTTGCTATCAACATCTTCAATAGTACCAGTAGTACTTTTTGCCAGTCGCTTCTGTGTGTTCCGCATGGTCCGTGTTCTCCGGATTGCAGAAGTATTCCTGTTTGTTACCACACTGCTCTGGAACCTGATGCTCCAGCAGCAGTGGGTACCCCTGCACCTGCATTTCTTCCTTTCCATGATGTCGATGATGCAGTACATGAAGTGGCTCTGCAGCATCCCTCGCCTCCTGTGGCTGCTGACAATCCGTTATTCGCTGCGCCAGCTGCTGTTGTTGTTCGATCTGCGCAAGGTGAGAAGGTTCCTAGGCTGCTTGTTGAGTTGCGCGGACAACATTGAGATAGCCGACAAGCAGTAATGGCCGAGGGTCGAAGCCCATATCTTCGTAGCCGGGCGCAGTGCGGTAGGCGGGTGCCTCCTCCGTCTTTTCCACGGCCGCTGATGAAAGAGTTGCCAAATCCGCCAGATGCTGCAGACCTTGGCTCGCAGCTGCCTCCATGGCCGACGGAGGTGGAGCTGCGGCAGTGTTGGTAGATGGACGAAGGTGATCGGCAATCTTGTCCCGAACCAGTCCATCAAAGACGGAAGCGGGAAGTGAAGAATCTCGGAATTCACCAAGAAGCCTCGTGGCCTCCTCTTTTGTCTTGTCCACCTTTGCCAACTCGACTAGCGTTAGCACTGCAAGGACTGTAAAGTGATGGTGCAAGGGCGTGATGAGCTGTGAATGGCCAATCAGGAGGTTGATCAACTCTTGACTGGGCCACAAGACGTCGGTCGACTTGGCAGATGGGTTGAGTAGATACGCCAGTAGGCGGCAGTGCCAATAGACCAGATGGACAACAGGATAAGTGTCGGGCTCGATATGGGCAGGCAGATCCTCGCGGAAGTCTTCTACCCACGCATCCATGAAAGAACCCACCATACGGTCCGCAAAGGTTGAGTTGAGGGGCTCTTGGAAGTTGGTAATCATGGATGATGCACGACTGAGGAACTTAGATGCACCTGCTACAGTCAGCACCCTGCAATGCTCTCACTCACCGACACAGAAGTTCTTTTCTATATTGAAGAGGGAAAGAAAAGAGGGAAGAACTTACGGATCAGCAGGTACGGCACTTCGCCAATGACTGCCTTTAGACCAGGTGCCAGAACCACGCTTTCATCTCGGATCAGTGAAGGCACTGCAGCACCCACAGCATTCCATCGATCGAGCAAAACCAACGACCACCAAATTCTGACACGAAGCTGGCTTTCGTTATCTGGGCCAACTTCAGCCTCGGAAAGATCTGCCTTGGCCTGGTACAGCTTCAGGGTATTGGCGCTCGCTACCGCCCTACCCAAAAGGGATTCCTTGGGTGCGCCGATGGAACCCAGTGGTCGAATATCAGCCTCGATAATCATGAGGAGAAGTGTCTGAAGGAAAACGAGGTTGGCAACAGCAGTCCGAGAGGTCGAATCGCTAGCCTCCCATTCTACTAAGAGCGTATGGGCAAGGCGTACGTCTCCAGGGGTGCCCGACTGAAAAGAAGGGAATGAGTGGATGGTTCCCGACAGAGCCTCTACGAATGCTTCCCGCAGAAGACCGGGGCACTGGGCCAGATATTCTTGGATTAGCGCCCTGCTGCTCGGCAGGAATGGAAAGTAAGGATGGATCATAGTGAGGTAGCTAAGAGTTGTATTAGTCGCGTTTTCAAGAAGGTCAAACATTTCATAGGAATTGACCACACACCCGTTGAAAACCTCTTCGTCCACATCCCGCGCCTGGTCGATATCAGGCATGTCGGCCACAGGGCCATCCATTGATGCAACGGGGGGCCGCGGCTGCATGTCATTCTTGATAGGCAAAGCCATAGGCTGAGGTGCCAAGCCATTGGTGGCGAAGGGGGATGGCTGGTAACGATCAGACGGTGTTGTTATAGGCTGAAGCGGACGAGGGTCGCTGCCCCAGGCGACCTGTCTTTGTGGCGCTGGGGTAGAGAGGTCGGTACTGGAGATGCTGGAGAATGGTCGTTTCCGGCTGGTGTCCTCACCAGGGCCTGACAGGGAGTTAAGCATTGCTGCCGCAGAAGTCCAGTTTACCATTGACTCGGGTGGCAATGACTCACTTTGGATCTCCAACTTGCCCTCAATGCTGTTGATCCTGTCGGCAAGTTCTTTGATGTATCTAAAGAATTTTGTCAGTCTGTGAACGTTGTAGATACAAAAGCATGCACCATTATCAACTTACCCCTTGCTTGGGCCGCGCTTCTGAGGAACACGGCTGAACATGCAGCGGATGCCAGACCGCTTGCAGTTGGAGCATGGGCTGTCTCCAGCATCTGACTGGGCATCACATTTGACCTTCTTTCTCCGGCACTCGTCACACGCGCGAGATACCTTGGACCGTTTTCTAGGCGGGGTACTATCACCAAGGGCGTATGGCTGAGCAAGATGATGATGGTCCATGGGCATGGACATAGGCATGTGCTGCTGTAGGGACTCGGGCAATGCTTCCTCGGGCACGTAAGAACGAGAGGCAGGCGGGAGGGGAGGGGGCTGATGAGGGTGCTGTTGCTGCTGCTGGTGTTGGTGTTGGTGCTGCTGAGCCTGTGTTTGAGCTTGCGTCTGCGGTTGCGTCTGTGTTTGTGTCTGGGCCGGGGTTGGGGCCTGTGCCTGTGCCTGTGCCTGCTGTTGTTGGGGTTGAGGTTGCTCCGAATGAGAATGGGAATGAGGATTGGGCATGATGCTACGAAGACTTGGATCTTCGACATTGATGCCAGGATCTGTGACGTGCATCAGGGGCTCTGCTGCAAGATCCTGGCCAAGCTGGGCAGCCAACTGCAACTCCTCCACACTGGCGGAGTGTGACGACGGCTGCTGTGGCGTGGGCGGCGGCTGCTGCTGGTCTTGGTGTTCATCGTCCCGCGTATCCGCGTGATAGTAAGGGCCGCTGTCTTGAGCCTCGGCCGAAGGTGAAGGATAGTTTTGCATTCGATCGGCTTCCTGGAGTCGCTCCTCTGGCAAAGGGGAAGGATAAGTCGGAATGCGCTCCTCGTCCAATCTCTCATGTTCTAGACTCTCGTGTTCCAAACTCTCGTGTTCCAGTCTCTCGTGCTCCAGTCGTTCATCCATCCTTGCGTCGTGGAGTGCCTCTTCTTGTGTGCGATCGTCGTTCATGCCGTCTACCTGGATGTCGTCCTCTGCCAGTCGGTCCTCTCGCAAGCCGTCTTCATGCATTCTGCTGTCGTCTTCCAGTTTGCTCTGTTGGAGATCTTCCACCTTCAATCTCTCTTCCTCTATCGTCTCGCCTTCCTGCGTCGAAGTCATGGCGACAGATGCCTATGGCAGAATGTGTGAAGTCGAACACTATCGGTTTCGTTTCGCGACACTACTGCACGAGACACAGTAGGGTCGATTACTCTGGGCTTCCGGGTGTAGGACTGGGCATCAGCTGGAAAGATGGCGAATGAGCGACGGGAGGATTGCGTCAAAAATGAAGACAGCACTCGTTGCTCGACGGCAAGCGGGAGATAGATGTAGGAAGTCGCAGGCTTTTCGCAACAGAGAGACGCGTCAATGGAAATGTGTAGTGCGAATTCGTGCATGCACAAGAGCGCGTCGCGATTGGGTTGCACGACCAAGCGGTGAGTCCTCGAGCTCGAGGCGGACTTCAATTGACTGTAGAAAAGACTATTTGTTTAGTATCTGTACTCTCCCGGCTTTTGTGAAATTTTCTCTCTTCTTCCCCGTTGCGACGCGACAAATCGGAATCGTAGCTTGCATCCTCAAAAAGTTTTCCTATCCATTCGCGCGACAAGCTCCAGGTAGGCGCGAGTCGCGGAATTCAGCTGTGATGCGAGCAGTTCTGCAGCCATCGTCAATCGCAATGGTACGACAACGATGGCCTCTGCGAGGATTTTCATTCATCGCAGCAGTGCCGCCGCAACAGCAGCAGGTCACTCGGGCAGTAAAGCGCGTGGAGGTTGAGGGAAAATAATCATTCGGGTTGACTGACCTCTACTCTCTCTTCAAAAGATAGTCCGACGCGGGCTGTCGTGATGGATCTGCTAAGCAGGCGATCTGGTGGACGGAATAGGAAGAACCAGGCTGCCGATGGAGGTTGGAAAGGCGTTGATTGATCCGGGTTGCGCTGGAGTTTTGACCTTGGGGATTCTCAGTCAGCACAGGGCGGGCTTTCCTGGTTCGTCAGGGTTTGTTCGGGACCGGGGACGTGGAGAGTGGATACTTTGAGTCGAGCATGGGCCCGAGGTGCTTGACTGGAAGAGTTTTTTTTTTTCTAGAGATGCCGGGAAAACCACTGGGGTGACGGGTCGGCAAGTGTGGGAAGGTACCTACCTACTTCGTACACCACCGTTGAAAATACGTAGCTGCCTCGTTCCGTCCGTGCGACTCCAAGGAGCTGGGGCCACCTCGCCGAGTTTCGAGTCTCTCCAAAGCTCCACGGGATGGGAGAAGAGTTACCTAAGGTAGGTAGGTATTCACACACAAACTACAGAGACACAGGTAGCTTAGGTAGCTTGTGAACACAAATGTGTCTCAAATATCTTTACAATGTGCCTCCAATTGATTATACACGCAGCAGGAAACAATCGTAGCATCGGATTTCAAGTTCGGCTTTATTCTTAGGGTATCTCAGTCGCCCGGGTCATTCATCCTATCCCTAATCCACCAGAAACCCTCCACCTCCCTCATCTTCCTCCATATCATATTCCTCCGTCACGTCGCTCAGCATATCCTCGACTTCGTCGTCCTCTCCTGTCCTTAGACCATCATCCTTTCCCTTGGCCCCAGACCCGCCTTCGGCCCCAACAGCTTGCTCAACTGCGCTGATGGTCTTAAACTCGTCCTCGGCATCAACAAGGAAACCACCCCTATCAGCCATTACCTCAGAATCGGCGACGCCCGTGCCTATATGTGCATTTGGGGCAGCAGAATCGATACTTCTCTCAGAACCAGAGTCAATCGTACTCTCCCTTGCTTCAGCCTGGATCATGAGCCCTGTACTGGTCGATGTTTGCGCAGGGTCATCCATCATGACGCCGTCTTCCATAAGGAAACCTCCGCCCTCCTCTATGTTGTACCCCTCTGAACCCTTATCCACATCGGTCAGGACAGATTCAGTCAACTTCCTTTCTTCCTCGGCCCGCTCCTCGGGTTCGGCGCCTGCCCACACGCGCTCAAAGATCCGGAGTGCCACAAGAAACCGCCTCCAAGTGCGTATGGCGACCAGAGATCGCTTGCTTTGCTCTTCCTGCGCGTCTACGTCCTTGAACCCAACCATCACCGCGCGTACGGCTTCCTCGTACTCCTTTGCGACCACGACGCCGTTGAACACCGCAGTTCCGTGTTTGCCTTTGAACTGGAATCCTGACAGAGCTGGCGCGTATTCGATTCCGAGCACGTAGGCAGCTCTGGCAGCTGTGTCGAACTCATCGAGGATGTGGACCCCTCCCTCGGGTACCATACTTTCCACATATATGTCGATGTTACCAAACTTGTTCTTTGGAACTCGCCCGTTGACGACCGGCGGTGCGCGGTAAATATCTGTCTGATCATGCGTGAAAACTGGTGTTCCTGTGGCATTGCGTTCGTCTCCACCATAGCCATCGTCGGCGTACTCGCCTGGTTTCGCGTTGGACCTTCGTGGTAGAAACTTGACCGGAACCTCCATCGGCTTGACTTCGCGACCCATACGGTACCACTTGTCCCTGCTTCGGGCAATTCGGACGTCCTTACGTCGATACACTTTTTGCAATGGAGCTCTGCTGCCTGCTGCTACCGTTCCTGCCGGATGCGCGTCTGGCGTGAGGACTTCGTTGCGCCTCAGGTGCCTCTCCAACGCAAACACCGGATGGTCTTTAAAGTCTGCCACATTTCGCGGCATCGGTTCGCGCGCTTCAATCGCATTCAGCTCGCTGTCTTCGATTTGGTCGAGATCGGTCAGCCGACGCCGGCTGAATGGCTTCAATGCCTTGCGCCACCATCCGTCACCACGTTCAACGACTGTCTCAATGCGCAGACGACGTGTCTTGGCCGTGTATGCCTTGGCATATCGTCTAGTGACGTCTCGGACTGTGCCATCAGTATCGAAAGCAATGACATATGTGAGAGAGTTCTCCTTGTCGGTTGCCGGGGGTTCCAGTTGTTTGGGTTTCCACATGGAGTTCGTCACCAAAGGGTCTACGGGCTGCCATTTCTGGTGGCCTACGTCTAGCACTTCCACCCAGTACACCGGAAAGCTCGATTCGCGAATCTTCACGGGAGCCTCTACCTGTCGCCTTTGAGTCGGTGAAGTTGACGTCGTTGGTAACTGATAGGCTGCAGCGTTCGGGTGGCCTAGTCGACGGAGTGGTGAAGTCAGGGCAGAGGCGGAAGACGAAGATTCTTCGGCACCCGGCTGATATTGTAGTAATTGAGACCTTATTTTTTCCTCCTTGGTAGACTTCTTCAAATGTTTTGCGTCTCTGGCTCTTGGAAGAGTTGGACCGGCTGACCCAAGAGAGAGCGGCTGCAGTGAGCAGACCAACCGCGCGCGAACTCCTACGGACCTCAGCAAAGCACAGTACAACTGAGCGCCGGTGTCTCGAGACCCTGCCAGCTTCCTTGCTGCAACTCTGAAGTCCGAACGGTCTAAACATGAATCCATGTTGCTAGGTGGCTGGTACTAGAGCAATAGGTTTAGCAGACTTCTTCGGATGCGATACCTTGGGATAGACTCACGTCGTTGAGATGACCAGGATCTTCTGCCCATAGTGATCGACGAAGGCCCCGTTCGTTTATTTGAAATTTGGACCTGAATACGGCACCAGCTTGCTGAAGGCCATTCTTTAGAGACTCAGTCTGTCCAAATTGGGGAAGACTGGAGCTCGGTGTCAAGTAGCCAGTTGTTTTTTTCGAGAGCAGAGGACGCAGGGTTTTGTGAACCTGTTCATCATCGCACCAACGATTTCTGAGGGCAGTGTGTAGCAGAAGACACAGCAGATGAGTCCTATGTATTGATACGCGCGACTGCTTTTCTTCCTTTGTGATTGGCTTTCGTTTGTTGGCTCCTTTTCTTGTGCTGGTCGTCATGTTGGCATGCTTTGAGAGATTGAGAGTCAGTTTTTGCGGTTCTTCTTGATTCCCTGAGCCATGTTGCAAGGCTCCAAAATCAACTTCGTCGAAATCGATAGGCTCCTCATCCCCGACTTCTTCTTCTTCGATGTCATCGTCAAGGTCATCTTCTTCATCATCGGAATCCCTGTACATGGTCTGGACGGTCGCCGGAGGCAAAACCACGTCTTCAAACTCAATGTCCGCCTCTTCGTCTTCTTCGGATCCTTCTGGTTCCATCACCTGTGACTTGACAGATGCAGTCTCTGCTTTCCCTTCCCCAGGTCGCTTCAGTCTTTTAGCAGGGGGCTCTAAGAATGCTGATGAACCGGCATCAACAGCAGCTTCCAACAGCATTTCTTGATAGACATCCGGTACGTCGAACTTTGCGGCCCTGGGCCGGGTGGCTCTGGTTCGTTTCCGACCCGCCATTGTGGCACTCGTTGAAGTGAATGTTTGTATTAGGTTGAGAAACCCATAGACGCACAGGTAGACGGGGGAAAGAGGACGCGACGCAAGGTGGATGAAATTGTCTGCTATAGAATCGCCGGAGTGAATAACCTGTGATTAGATGTATTCTCGCCCACCTTGCCTTCCATGAGTAGGCACTTCACTCTTAGGCAAGCACGCGAGGGAAGATATCCGTAGGTACCTTGCGTAGGTACCCGCCTTCAGTCAAGGCAACCTGGGTGATTGGGTTGAGGGCTCCGTATGTACAGTGGAATACCAAAGAATGCAAGAAAATAGGATGGATCGGATGTCTCGTCGCTGACAAACCAGAAGACATGACGTCATGGCAGCAGCAGCAGCAACAGCGGGCAGTCATGTACCTACTTCATGGACACAAAGGTAAGGTATCTGAGAAGTCAATGCTGCCACACGGCCACGTGACTTTGGACTGGTGCTCACTGCCCATGCCTAAGATACTGCCTTATCTGGACCTCCCATGCCCAGGCCCGAAAAGCTTCCCTCGGGCTTAACTTATACATGCCTTACCAAGGCAGAAGTGGTCTGCGGTACTCATCGAGTAGGTAAAAAGTAAAAATGTACGGAAGATACTAATGTAATTTACTCAAGTGAGTCTCACCAAGGGCATTCTATCTCATCAAATGTGCCGAAGATACGTCACCACTCCGCGAGGTAATACGTAAGAAGAGGCGGGGTCTTGAATGACTTTATTCTCGTGAAATCCAATCTACGCGACCTAATCCTTC